GAAAAATATAAAAATATATAAAAATATATATATATTTCATATAATTTTTTTACAAAAATAATAAAATTCATATTTTACAAAAATATACAGAAAAACGAAAATATTTATATAAATTAACATATATAAAATATATATACAATACATATAAAAATACAGAAATATACATTGTTTATACATAAAATATATATATTACATTTAAAAATATATAAATTATTATTTTCTTTTTTTTTTTATTCAAAAATCCTTATATTTTGATCCATAATATTTATCATTAGTATTGTTACAATTTGTATTGTACATAAATATAGAAGAGGAATAGAATTGAATAGAAAAGACAAAGATAGGTTAAAAATTATAAAATCAGCGCCATCTCTAGAATATTGCAAATGGATTAAATATAAAGTAAGAAGAGTAAATAATAAAAGAAAGATAGGGATAATACAGGAATTAATCATTATTGCCATCTATCGAGTATGAAAGACATGTTAAGTTTGAACTTTCCAAAAGATGGCGTCATTTGTTCATTATTTTTAGAAATATTTTTAAAAGATTACTTTATTTTTGATTCTAATCTTTCTTTATTCTATTTTTGTAGAATTGTCTTTGATATTCAAAAAGTGATGACACTGATGGTTAATTTTTACTATATTTCTAATCTCCGATTAATTTATTTTTCTTATCTTACACTAATTTCATTTGCGATACTCTGAAGATGGCGCTGATTTTTATTCTATTTTTGTCCTTCTCTTACTATTTGCTTTTCTTCCGTCTGTATTTATTCAACAATTGTTATTCAACAATTCAATAATAGAAATACTTGTTGTCACTTACAAATCAAAAAATAATAAGATTTTTTCTTTGTAATAAAAAAAAATAATGATTTGTAATTTGTATATATATATATATATATAAATTTTTATATTTAATTATGTTATATAATATAGACATATTAATATTAGGTAAGAAATGTAAATTTAATTTATTTAATTTTGTTTTAAAAAAGTATTTAATTTTTATGAACATTATATATTATATATACATCATATATTATATTTTATACATGCATGCTTACATAATTTTAAATGATATGATTGAGAAAAAATATAATATATGGTTAGAATATTTTGTTAAAAACAAATTTTTAAAAATTAAGATCATTTTCAAATAAAATATATATCTCTTATATATATAATTATAGTTGAACAATACACAATACAATATGTTGTACAATATATTGAAATTATTATTACAACGATGTTTACCAAAAAAAGAAAATTATTCAAAAATTCATCTATATTTAGCTGGAACATATGCATTTAGTGCATGGACTGCTGCTATATTTGTGTTTTATCTATCAATACATGAATCCTTACCTACAACTCCAGAACGAAGTATATTATTTTAAATAAAATAATTTAAATATTATTCAATAATTTTATGTAAAATAATTTGAATTTTAAATTTTTATAGGACAAAAATTTATAGAAAAATTAGAAAAAGGAAAGAAAATAGAATATATAAAAATTGATGGATTTGATATAAATTCTAAAAAAACATACGAATATGAAAATTCAAAATGAATTTATAATAAAATAAATTTTTATCACAAAAATGTTTTTATTAAATTCAGTTTACTAACAGAGATCTATAAATATAGTTTAATAATTTCTTTTTATTTGTAGAAATTATTTATAATATATAAACTTTATTTTAGATAGAGATTATTTAAGGTAGAGATTGTCGTAAGGCAATTGCTCCAGAAGTTTCTGGATTTAATTCCTTTAATCTTTGTTCCATTTCACATAACAAAGCTGACCTAAAAAATCATATAATTAAAAAATTTATGATATATTATGTAAAATAAAAAAAATATAACTTAACAAACCTATATTCTTCATAACGCATGACAACTTCTTCTAATTCTTGTTTATATAATCTAGTAAGCATAGCATTAAAACAGTCAAGTTCCGGTAAACGAAAAAGTTCCCACCGTAATTTACGATCTAATGCTACTGATGCTCTACTGTATACATATAACCAATGAGGTATTTCTTCATTAAGGTATGGATTAGCTGGAACTAAAACACTGTGGGAGTGAAAATGTGTGTGGCGCGGTGGTGATACAACGCGTACTGCTTGTATTTCATGAGGATAACATGGATGCTCGTATTGTGCTTGTCGCGTAATATGACTATAAATAATATAATTTTTTTATAGAAATTATAATATATACTTTTAATTTTAAATTGCTATAAAACTTACTTAACATAATAAACACCATATTCTGGTGATTCTATTCTTTCCCAGCCTGTAGGTAAGCCTTCTTTTTCAAGAGGATGAGACCAATGAGTAGTTTTTGTATTGTGATCTATATAATATTTTCTACCTCTAAGAGTGAAGTCCACAGACCATCCAGGAGGTAAAGGAAGTTCTTCTTGTTGTTCATTCCTAGAACTTGATCTTTCTGAATGGCAACGACTATATCTTAAAAATACAAACATAAACAAAATATGCATACTTTTGATAATTTTATAAATCTTAAGTATAATACTTTTCTACCCTGTATTTTGACGATATGCAGAATGATTATATTCATCATAACCTGAATCAATATCAAAAGGTTTATAAGGTATTTGTGGTGTTTGAACCCGATCTAAATGATATTCAGATCCAGCATATTGATTAACATATGTATGAGATATAGCAGGTGAAAGTCCAGAATGATACATTGGAGTTGCAGTACGAGATGAAATTCCATCTCTTGTACTAGTATTGACAGAAAGACTGGCAAATCTAAATGAAAAATCTAATGAATATATTGCAAATTTTATTTTAACTTTAAAATTAAAATATATTTTAAAAGATAAATTACCTTTGTGCTAAATCTGGTACAGAACTATTAGGAGTATATTTTCCTTCATGACTTCCTAAACCTACTGCACTCATTGTTGTCTTAGTATTTCCAAACTTTTGTACCATACTGGGTTGTTGTGGAATAGACTACATAAAAATTATTTGTTATTTATGTACAAAAATATTGTACACGCAATTGCTATTTATTTACCATAGATGTAGGAATAGTTGAATGATTATTACGATTCCTTGTTCTTCTATTTGGTTCAGTTGTCCATACATTAATAACTAAAAATAAATAATAATTATAAAAAAATAAACTATATTTTATTATTTGATATAGTATAATAATAATAAAACAAATAAAACAATAATAAAAAAAAGAATATAAAAACTATATTATCAATATAAAAATTTATTTTCTATAAATTAAATTCTAAATATGACACAATAATACGTAATGATATCTTACTTGGCATTTCAGGTGGAGTTTCTTTCTTGACATATTTACCAACAACTCCTTCTTTAATTGTTCTTAAATCCTTATTTTTTCGAGACAACATAATGGAATAAATATTTGATCGAGCGACAAACCAATAAATCTTCGATATTTATAACCTATAGTCACGATATTATATTCGTAAAAGTAATGAAAGTATATTCCAAACATATAATGATGTGGTCAAAAATAACAAATTATTCATTTTATATATTTGTATAAATTTGTTTTAATAAAGACTCAAGATTATTAAAAATTGCTTAACTAAATTATGTACTTGTCACATGTATATGTCTTTTCATAATATGAACGTTCAAAAAAAAATATTTCAATTGACGACGCTTTAGATATATCAACAATTTATAATATTAAAATTCGTTTAAATTTTTTTGTTCAATCAAACAATTTTTTATCAATTATTTGAAATTTAAAAATTTAAAAAAAAATTAATCTCATATACATATATTTAATATTTATAGTAAATTATTTCATTTGTGTCAATTTGACATTATGATATATGTCAATTTCGTCAATATTACGAACTGTCAATTTGATATTATGATATATAAATTTTTTCGAAGAGAGTAAAAGTAAGTTAATTATCATAAATTCATATATTAGTAATACCAAAACTGATTTTTAATTCATTTAGTA